AATATAAATTTAACGACCAAAAGATCAAAAATAATATAGTTAAAGGACTAAATATTTTCTTATTCTAAGAAAATTTCCATTAAAGATAGCGGATGTTTTCGTTAAAAATAACGAATTAAATAAAATTGAAATAAATATGAAAGATAATAAATAAGATTGAAAAAATTCAAAAATAATAAATAAAACTGAAAAAAATATGAAAGTTAATAAATTATTTGTTCAATTAACCCCTTATTCTTATTTTGATTGTTAAACTTTTTTGTTGTCAAATGGTTGCTAAACTTTTTTTTTTTTACTCCTTTTATCTCTATTAATGATATCCTTGATAAGAAATTAAACATTATATTTTTATTTTATAAAAAAAAATTAAAATTAAACAATGAAAGAGAATAAAGGAAAAGAAAGACTAATATTATAATGGGATGAGGGAAGGTAGGCAAAGATTTTTTTCATTAATTAAATTATAATGTTATAATCTAATTAGTTAAAAAAAATTTCTCTTAATGTTAAAATTTAATTGATCAAAAAATATTTTCCTTATTATAATTTAATTAGTTAAAAAATCTTATTTTCTCCTCTTAATGTTATAATTTAATTAATCAAAAAAATCTTTTTCTCTCATTTTCTCTTAAAAATATTATAATTTGATTGATAAAAAATTTTTTTTGCCTCCCTCCTCTGGTCCCACCGCCCAAACAAATAGGTTGAAACTCGAACTCAATCTTAGGATTCATGTTTGTATAGAAGTTGCTTCTGCCTTGGTCCAACATATAATTCACACGCTCTTAATGCGAGTGAAATATGTCCATTACCTTTCATATATACTGGACTGTGGACTTACAAATGGCATGCAATTTGAAAAATAGATTATGTATTAAGACAACTAAATTCGATTTAAGGAAGTATTTATCATTAACAAAAATCTATGAAGTTAATTAAAGTAAGATTGAGAAATTTCTTGGTGAAGATGAGACTGTCAGGTTGTTAATCTTTGATTGGGACGTAAAGTTTGTGGATTTGGCTTAGAGTATTCTAAGTTGCCAAAAATGCAACTCAGTTCCAAAACTTAATTAGCAAGTTTTGGCAGATCAATCATTTCACATAATGTTCTCGCAAATTGGCCTTCAAACTTCAATTTATATGCAACCCGCCCTTCTCCGTTAATTTTGACTTATTTTTTCTTTTTCTTTTTTTTTTCTTTTATTTTTTTAACTTTTTGTTAACCTTTCTTTGACTCTGCAGTCTTTTGGCAAAAACACACTTTACCACAATTCTAGAGAATATTCTTTTCTATGAGGCAAGGATATAGAGGCAATCTTTTCTTTGTGAAAGTGTTGCAATAAATGTTGTCAGCTTCATGGGACCTCACAAAGATCCTCATTTCTCACAAAAAGTGAAAAAAAAAATGTATAAAAATTATAATAAATCTAATCTAACTCAACTTAATACTTTACTTATTTTTAAATCTAAAACACATTTACATAGTCACTTATTTCTTTGAATTCATACTGAAAAATGCAAATCAGCCATCATTATTAATGACCTCATACATGTGAACTTACTTTGCCTATTATTTTCCTTTGCTTGATCCCATTTTTCTATGTGTATGCTTTGAATCAAAAGACCCCTTGAGCAATAAAAGTCCTATCAAAATGGTTCAATGTGATTTGAGAACACTAAATAAAGAACAAAGACCATATGAATCCTTATAACGAGATTTTTACCACATAAGAGGTCTTTTAATCCAAATTAACATTCATATAAAAAAAATGGAACCAAGTGAAACAAAAGAAACCGACAATGTGAGTTCACATGCATAGGTTGTTAATGATGATGGCTAATTTTCAACTTTCGAGGGATTGAGAGTTAATTTACCTCAGTTGAGAGTTTTGAAGGCTTGTAGGCTTATTTGCACTATTTTTAGTTTGCTCACATGTTAACATGGGGAAAGCTTGTGGGCTTAAGAGGGGGTTTTTGCCTATAATGAATCATATCTGAATATTCATATATGATATTTATATTAAATAATGCAGTATATAAAAATAAATGAAATGATATAATTATAATGTTACATAAAATTGTAATTTTACAATAATTATAATTTTACAATAATTATATAACATGATATTAAATAAATAGATACAAATATAGAATTTGTTTGATGAGTAAATATTATCTTGTATGCATTTTATTTTGAGATGAAAAAAAAAATCCCTTTACCATAAAAAAAAAGGGAGGGGTGGGGAAGCTACTTGCATTATTGCCATCTTCTTTTATGGTCTATTGTTATTGCTAATTGAGTTGATTAGAACTCAAATTGGAATATAGTCAATTAAGCCTTAAGATCATTTAATTTCTCCCACATGTTAATTGTAGAAATTGATGAGATACAATATTGCAGGAAAAAGTAAAAGTAGAAATGAAAAATACTAGTCCCGAGAAAGAGGAGCACCGACTCCATGGCGTCTAGAAGGGAACGCAACGAACAAAACACTGCAAACAACGCCAATGGCAACTGGCAGCTCCGCTAGAAGCTCCTTGACCTCCTCAGATGGCGTCGGGTTAAAGCACTTCACAACGTTCTGATCGAACAAAGCAACCGCTGCAAAAACCAGCAGAGAAACAAACGCATGGAAGAAATCAATAAACCTCAGCTTGTATTTCTCCTTCTCCTCCGCCGAAAGCTTCACGAAGCCATCCACCACCCACAACCCCCTAAACGTGGCCACCCCATATCGGACTTTTCCCCTCTCATCGCGGAAACTGTCGGTGAACGACTGGATGAAACAGGACGCGGCGCAGAGGGCCACCATGCCCATGGTCATGTACTGGTTCACCGGAGTTTTGCATTGACCTTGGCGGGTTAGAACAGGGGAGAGAATCTGGAAGGTTAGGACGGAGCCTGTTGGGAGAAGCTTGGCCAAATGGGCTGTTCCCTTGAAGGCTTTTCTCACCACCTTCTGCCTCTTTGTCTTCGACGGCTTCTTCTTTGGCTGTGCTGCCGTAGAATTCTCCGACGAGGGTTGCTGTTTTCCCAGGACAACCTCCTGTGGTTCTTTGTTTTCTAACAGGGGTTGCTGGTTTTCGACATTGATGTCCATTATGAATTGAAAACAGGGGTTTTTTTATTTCTTTGAGGATTTTTGGACAATGTGCCTTGGTTTGTGCAAGGATTGATGTTGTTTCAAAGATTAATTGGGAGTTTTAATTGGGGTTTGAAGAAACAGATTGCAGAACAGCTTGTTATTTTAGTTGTTGTTTTTTTTCCCAAATTAAACATAAATGAAGAATGTAGCTCGGCATGTAAATCAAAACCGTAATTTTGCTGAATTGATCTGTTACATATTTTCATTTTGCCATCGTTTTCATAATTTTGGTTTTCAGTTATCACTCATCGCATAACGTTTTTCTAGCAATATCCAACAAAACTTCGAAACTTTAAAATTAGGATCTTTTGTCCAAATCTAGGAAAGCATAGGGAAAAGTTGGATGGGAAGTGAGATCCAGCACAGACAACGGACAACAATCAAATGCATGCAAACAAAGTGTTGGCTTGTAGCCTTATGTGGACGAGAATATGCCTTTTATTTTATTTTTTTATTGAACAGTATAAAAGTATAGGATATAATACACCATAATTTTAAAATTTTTTAATTTTTTTTAAGATACAAACAAAATGATATAGCCCTTAAGTGGGGCCTTCTTCTTGATTATGGAGCTTTGTCCCACATTGTCTTTACGTGTATAAGTTAAGTGGTATATATATGACATTTTACATCATTTTAAATTAATTTATTTTTAATTAATTTTAAGATTATAATATGTTTTATTTTTATATCATTTCATACGGCTAAAAAAACAAACTAGTATATTACGAGAATGAGAATGCTACATACAATTAATTAATGGAGAGATAGTTACTCAATATTTAGAGGAACCTGCCCCTCTTTAAATGGTTATACAAAAATGAAGGGTTATAAAAAATTGCAATTCACGCAATTTTTTGTTGTAGTATAATTGTTTATAAAGTATAGTTCTAGAATGCGTGACCTTGCTGTTGTACCTCTCTTTTTATTTTAATTGTTGGGGCCAACTTTGTGTCAATTAATATGAATATGAAGTGTATCTTTAAAATTATTTAAAGAAAATTAATTTTGAAATACATAAAAATTAGTTTAAGAATACTTTAATTATAAATATTTAAAAAATAAAATTAATTTTTTTTAGTTGCATAAAGGTAATCAGCTGACTCTTTTTATATAACTTATGATTTATACCTGATACATTTTACTTTAATCGTAAGAAGATTACTATTAATTAGTTGACTAATGATATTTTAAGTGTTGATATGTCTTTTTTAAAAATAATAATAATAATAATAATAATTGAGAGGTCACCAGCTTAGGGTAAGAAGCATGCACTTTTAGCGTTGGACCGCGAGGCAACGTTCTGCTGGATATAACCACCGTTTTCTTTTTTTTCATTTTTTTAATAGTTATGATGTTTTTGAATTAATTTTTATATATTTTTAGGTTAATTTCTTTTTAATGATATTAAAAACACATTTCATGGTGGAGTGTATTTAAAAAATTAATCTTTTTTAAATATTTAACTTAAAACTTTAATCATAAATTTAACTTATAAAATAATGATACTTACTGATAAAATCATCTAATCCATGAAGTAGCTGGATATGACTCTTTAGATTCTCTGGTTGGGACGAAATAATACTAGTGCTAGTTATTAGATATTGAGCTTTTTTTTTTTTTTTTTTTTGATAAGGGTAATGGTTAAGAAGTTAATTGAGTTAGTTTGTTAGTAGCTGGGATTTCCCAGAACGGTGAACATTTCATCCCTTCATATGAGACGCGCGGTCATTAGATTGCAAGTTGGTGAAGTTCATGACGATGGCAGAGCTCGAAGCCTGACCTCCGTCTCGGCTTAAGGATCAACCATTGGGTCTCAGGCCCGGTTGGTGATATTGAGCTAATTTAAATGTATATCCCAAACTACTACCCAAAAAAGTGTATAACCCAAACTTAAAAGCAAGCCCATGCCAGTACTGCCAAAGATTAAATTTGGGCTTGAAATGAGTTTGGGGTAGGCTTTGTAAGTTTGTATATATGAATGTAAATGGGAACCATGAGATTTCCTACTCATCTTATGCTCCTAAAACATTGGGCTAGAAGGCTTTGGATGCTTCGGCAAACAAACCCATAGATTGCCCTTGACCTTATCCAGTTCAAGGATTTTCGCCTCTCACTTATTTTTTGATACAATAAAGTAAAGTGTAATATTTACTGGCAATCGATCCTTTGTGTTTAGTGACATTAATTATATTGAATAAGTACACTTTTTTTCTTGGGTGAATTTGATCCCGTATCATATTAAATTGTTAAAAAAAAAATAGTAATATTTACTCCTTTGGTAAATAAGACCAAAATTAATGTGTGTGTCACGTGTAGCGCATGGGCATAAACGTTAGGCTTCCTTTACGGAAAGCACACATTAGCGCTAGCTAACAGTTATTTTATATGCTGATACATAGCTTGGCCAATTTCACAGGCGGGAAACTCCCGCGCTTAGTTTCAACCTAAGGCCCTATCTACTCAATTTTGGGGAAAAAAAAATCAACAAAATTCAAGATCATTTTTAAATGATCCCAAAATCAGCAAACCGAAAATATAATCATAAAATTAATTACTGTATTCATTAATTTTTTTTGCCATAATTATCTATTAATTCAAACACAATTAAAAAAAAAAAAAAGGAAACAAATTAAGAAAAAAATTTGCTATGAAAAAGAAATTGGAAAAAAGCCTCTGTTCTCTCTTTCGATCTTCATCGTCCTCCTTATGAATCCCATCCCCTTCTTCATCTCCATGGCTCTATTTTCTGCACACTTGCGGCTTCAGCTGTGATGGAAAGAGCGTGTAATGACCTTAGCATTTGTCAAGGGTTCAAAGAGCACCGGCTGCATTTTTGTTGTAATATTCCCCAATTCCTCCAATGGTTTTCCTTTTTTCTTTTTTTAACCAAAAAAAAAAAAAAAACTATCTTCTTTCCCACCGCGGTCTCCATCGTCCCACAACCGCCTCTGTACTACAGCACCCAGTCTGAAAAGGAAAAGGCTTGCAACTGCCCCTGCCCTCTGCTTTTATTCCGCTGATATGAACGTGCTTGCAACAAATCAAATAATTTCCTTTCCTCAAGGACTGCCACAATGGTGGTTGCTCTTTATGTCACTTTGTGACGTAACTAGTCACTGTTAGGAAATAACTATCAGCGTAATCATAATTGTTTTAATAACGTATACATTATTGCTAACACTATCTCTATGGTAGTTTCTTTCGTAATAAAAAGTGAGGAATTTTAAATTTAAATTTTATAACATTAATATGGGATATGCTAAGAGATAAAAACAATTGTGTTTTTTTATATAATTTAAAATAAAAAATTATTTTTTAAAAAAATATAAAAAATTAATATATTATAATAATTAAAATATTATGAATAATAATAAAAAAACTTAAAAACTTTTAATAAATTAATACGTAAATACTTATTAAAAATATTTATTTAAATAATTTCGAAAATAAATTTGATAATTTACAAGTTATAATATTTTAATTTTCACTTTCCTCTTTAATAACTTATTTTTTTATTAAAAAAAATAATCATTTAAATTACAGCAATTGCAATCATCCACCAAGAATAGATACGCTATAGAAGTCAGTAAACTGATGCCTAAATTAGCCAATTAACCCCCTTTTTTTTTTTAAACATAGGAAAATTGTGGGGGAATAGGTGGGGCTTGTTGTACTCTTTGCCTCCACCTGATGAACCCATTTGGATATTGTCACTGTACCTATACTCGCGGTTCAAAGAGGCAATTAATTAAAGACTATTTAATTAATCCTTTAATTTTTTTTTATTTGATAAATGGAAAGGTTGTTGCTTAGGGTTTGAGCTATAGGAATTGAAGATTGTGAACTCTCTAGTTAACTGGTCGAATTGAAAGGTTTGACCAGTTCTAGTGACCAGGTGGTCCACCTTTATTAAAGAAAGTTTGATTACCCCTAACTACATTAATTCATCCATTAGACACCTCATAATGTATTTTAACTAGTTAAAAATTTAAAACTTTAAATTAAAAATTTTAAATTTAAAATTTGAAACGATAAAAAGTGCTTGAGAAGGGAAAAACTTTCTCTTGATACATAATCTATAATTTGATGTAAAAAAAAAAAAAAATTCATCCTTTAGATTTTTTTTCTTAGAATGATCAAGTGAACTCATTTTTTATACTCTTCTCGTTTCTTACAATCATCTTAATCGTTTGACTGCTTATTTCCCCATTAGATGTGAGGTTCATGTTAATTTTAATATAGATAATAATATAATTCGTTTTAAATAGGTTTTAACTTTGGGAGTATTGCGTACAACACTTTTTATGACAAAATATTATATAAAACAATAAATTATAAATTTATTATAAATAATTAATTTTAATTAATATTTTATATTTTGTGATTAAAAAAAAAAACAAAAAAACAAAAAGACTTACATTTACAGTGCAACCTAATACTTCCAAGCAAAACATAAGTCCAATAGAGTATCATTACTATTGTTGGCTTTTTAATTTAATTACTTATAAAAGGACATTAAAGGCTAATATGTTAAAATATTGGACCTTGATTGGTGCACACCGGATCTAACATCCGGGTGTGCACCCCCACATAAAAAAAAAAAATTAAACCAGGTGGTGATAGGCTTTTTTTTTTTCAATGGGGAGTGTGCACACCCGGGTGTTGAATCTGGGTGTGCACACATTATTTTCCTAAAATATTCTCAAATCGTGAAATGGTGATAAAGAAGAGCTACTGAGATTTTTAAATTTCAAGTTCTAAATGTTTTACATAGAGCCTGCTCTTGAACAATTATATAAATATTAGGTGGGATAGTATTTCTTAAAATAAAAGGAGTATCAAGCCTTCTAAGTAAAGAAAGGTTTAACAAATGAAATTGAAAAGATGTATAGATATATTTAAAGTAAAGATTGGTCCTTCTAAAATCTAGATTAAGATAGAGATGAGTGGATCCCATAATGATATAGGGACTAATGCTTAATACTGTATTCCTGTGACAGCATTAGCATGATACATTAATTGGTACCAAAATAACCCAGCAATA